TAAGATGGAAAAGTAGAGAGAAAGACGAAAATTGGAAAAAGAAAGGCACAGAAAGGAGAAAAAAGAGAAAAGGAAAGGCGTAGAAAAAACGAAGAAAAAGGTAAGAAGCAGAGGCCAAGAAAAGCAGAGGCCAAGAAAATCAGAGGTTGAAATTATGAATAGTTTGCTACAAATTCAAGAAAACTTCAATCAAGATCTCTTAGCACAGTGGTTTCCAAACATTTTTCTATGGCAATCCCTTTTTAAAATAAAGAAGTGAGCATGCAATGTGTGTGTGTGTGTGTGTGTGTGTGTGTGTGTGTGTGTGTGTGTGTGTGTGTGTGTGTGTGTGTGTGTGTGTGTGTGTGTGTGTGTGTGTGTGTGTGTGTGTGTGTGTGTGTGTGTGTGTGTGTGTGTGTGTGTGTGTGTGTGTGTGTGTGTGTGTGTGTGTGTGTGTGTGTGTGTGTGTGTGTGTGTGTGTGTGTGTGTGTGTGTGTGTGTGTGTGTGTGTGTGTGTGTGTGTGTGTGTGTGTGTGTGTGTGTGTGTGTGTGTGTGTGTGTGTGTGTGTGTGTGTGTGTGTGTGTGTGTGTGTGTGTGTGTGTGTGTGTGTGTGTGTGTGTGTGTGTGTGTGTGTGTGTGTGTGTGTGTGTGTGTGTGTGTGTGTGTGTGTGTGTGTGTGTGTGTGTGTGTGTGTGTGTGTGTGTGTGTGTGTGTGTGTGTGTGTGTGTGTGTGTGTGTGTGTGTGTGTGTGTGTGTGTGTGTGTGTGTGTGTGTGTGTGTGTGTGTGTGTGTGTGTGTGTGTGTGTGTGTGTGTGTGTGTGTGTGTGTGTGTGTGTGTGTGTGTGTGTGTGTGTGTGTGTGTGTGTGTGTGTGTGTGTGTGTGTGTGTGTGTGTGTGTGTGTGTGTGTGTGTGTGTGTGTGTGTGTGTGTGTGTGTGTGTGTGTGTGTGTGTGTGTGTGTGTGTGTGTGTGTGTGTGTGTGTGTGTGTGTGTGTGTGTGTGTGTGTGTGTGTGTGTGTGTGTGTGTGTGTGTGTGTGTGTGTGTGTGTGTGTGTGTGTGTGTGTGTGTGTGTGTGTGTGTGTGTGTGTGTGTGTGTGTGTGTGTGTGTGTGTGTGTGTGTGTGTGTGTGTGTGTGTGTGTGTGTGTGTGTGTGTGTGTGTGTGTGTGTGTGTGTGTGTGTGTGTGTGTGTGTGTGTGTGTGTGTGTGTGTGTGTGTGTGTGTGTGTGTGTGTGTGTGTGTGTGTGTGTGTGTGTGTGTGTGTGTGTGTGTGTGTGTGTGTGTGTGTGTGTGTGTGTGTGTGTGTGTGTGTGTGTGTGTGTGTGTGTGTGTGTGTGTGTGTGTGTGTGTGTGTGTGTGTGTGTGTGTGTCGCATAACTCATGAACCGATACACAGAAAAACACCAAATTTCAAACTTAAGCTTTGTTTCAGCGTCCAATGTGCTGATTAGATTTTGGTCAGTGTCGGAACATCTGGGGGGGGGGGTACTTTATGAGTGGTCATTTCTATATTTTATGGAATAGATCTGTTATTTACGTTTGGGGAAGAAAATTCTTCAAATAAAAGTTACTTCTTATATTATTATCTAAATTTTTTTTCTATACAAAATTTTCCGAAAATGGTCCGTATTCGAGAAATTTAACAAAATGTAAAAAAATATTTTTTTATAAAAATTGTTCAAACAAAAGTTGTTTGTAATATAATTCTCTATAATTTTTATTTTATACATAATTTCTCTAAAATGGACCGTATTCGAGATATTTGAGAAAATGTGTAAATTTCGGAATTTGAAGAAAATTCAAAAACGGATAAAGAAAAAAACATTAAATTTTAAACTTAAGTTTTATTTCGGCCTGACGTGAAATGATTAGATTTTAGACAAAGTCGGAACATCTGGGGGGTACTTTAGGGGGGCCGTTTTTATATTTTATGGAATATATCTGTTATTTATGTTTGGAGAAAAAAAATATTTAAATAAAAGTTATTTCTAATATTATTATCTATAATTTTAGTTTTATGTCAAAATTACCTGAAATGGTCCGTATTCGAGAAATTTGACAAAATGTGCAAAATTCCGATTTTTATGAAAATTGTTGAAATAAAAGTTGTTCGATATCGATCTCTATAATTTTTGTTTATACATGATTTTTCTAAAATGGACCGTAATGGAAAAATTGTAGGAAAAGTGCTAAATTTAAATTTTTCAGTATTTTCATTTTCAATGAATATCTATAGAAAAATGTTTCGAGGTAGATGTATGTGGAAAATGTATATATTTATTTTATCCTCTAAACATTTATGGAGGTGCTGCAATAGGTTGTACAAAATAACCGGAAAACGCCTGTAATAACTAGATAGGAAAGTCATGTGTTGGACACATCAGATTTCATATTGTTTTAAAGCTAAACATTTGTATTAGTAGTACAGGTTCCTCGTGTGCCCCTCTTCTTAATATTGCTCTGTGTCCCCTAGTTTGGGCACCACTGTTAGCACAACAACAAGAGAATTTAAAAACTAATTTAGAGCAACAACAAGATAATTTAAAACAACAAGAAACGAGAAAAAAAAAGTATAGTTGGTAAGACAAATTAAAACTGAAATTCATAGCCAAGCTTCGGTAAGCAACACTGAAGCTGAAAACCCTGGGTACCTCGTATTCATCTATAACCAAACAAATCCACACTCGAAACCCAGTTTCACAAAACTATACTAGCAAGACCTTTCCACCCACGTTTGATGCTCAGACAACATGGGAAACGTATCGAGTCCAATTTGAAACTACATCTAGAGCCAATGACTGGGCCGAGAAAGAAATAACGACTTTATTGGTAGTGTCGTTGCGAAGACAGGCAACACCCGTTTTACAGTTCATTTTTAGTCCAAGCTTTAAAGACAAGGTATGGCCAGTAGCATTTGAAACGTATTCCAAAGCCAGCTAAAGGTTCATGGTCAGAAATATGATGAGAATCTACAGTAATTGGAGGCCGATATAAAAAGATTGCTGCATCTGGCCTATCCACAGACACCCAAAGATTTTCTAGAACAAATCGGCATACAGGCATTTATTGATGGACTACAAGATGTAAAAATGCAGCAAGCTTTTCGGCTACAACATCACAAGACGTTGTGTGAAACACTGATTGAAGCACCTGGGAATATGAAGAGGTAAAAATCATATCTGGATCTTCTCGCACAAAATTAAGAGAAATTAGATTCCAGTAAAGTAAAGAGGCCACTACTAATACTATTCTTCAACCTACTCTCTCACAAATCTTAAACATCCTGCAAAATATGCAACGAAACAGCCAAAATGGGAGCAGAAGATGCTTCAATTGTGGAAGAATAGGACACCTTCAAGAAACCTGTTGAAGCAGGGCTCGTTCTATATATCGAGAATCGGGTTATGAGGCCCGTCACAAAGTCCGACAAGAAATAATTACAGTAAATATACCTGCCGAAGAAGCCGGTCATGCACACCTGGCAAAAATTGGGAAGACGAAAAGGTAGACACTACGGAGCAGGCACCGGCTGTTACTGAGGGCTCCAAAATTTAAACTTACACTTTAAATAAAAACGAACAAAAGTTATTGGTCAAGGGATATATCGACATCCAATAATTCGCCTTTATCATAGATACTGGTACAAACAAGTTTTTCATTCGAAAAGGGATCCTGCATCGAAAACTGCTACCAATTCGAAGAAGCTTGGTTTGGGAAACAGTTACAGGGCACACTACTCCTGTTCTAGAAGATATATCAGCTACCATATAGATTGGTAATACCTTGATAGAACACTTATTTCTGGTGGCCGATATTAACGATCAGTGTATCCTTGGTATGGACATTAGGCAAAATAAGTTTATCATAGACCTTCCAAATGAGATTTTGGTAATTGGGAACGAGGAAATCGTCCTAAATTTGAAGAAAAATACTCAACCGATAAAGGTCCTAGTGGAAAAGATATAGAAGTCTTCCAAAATTCTAAAGCTGTGTCATCTCGGCGAAATCACATGGCTTACAAGTAGGCAATAAAAGAATTCTGGTAGATAGATGTGTTATATCCCTAATACTTGTAGTATAGTTACTAGATTAGATTTTGATGTTATCAATAATAAATAAAGATGTCAGATTTTCAATATTAGTTTTCACCTCTTTATTATTCAAATATTTACATTTAAATATTTAGCGACGTTGAAAAGCAATTCATCTATTAATTCTTCAGATATTCCTCCAGATAATTTTAAGCATGAATCAAGATCAATTTCAGAAATTTCTAACTGCTATTCTCCATCAGTTTCAACAACCTCAAGATAACGTATCAACTACTTCGATTAATCCCAAGGTACTACTACATCCTTTTGAAAGACCAGAAAGAAGATTTCAACACTTATATGCAACGCTTTGAAAACTATAACTGAAAAATGTATTCAATGACAAACAGTATGCGGCACAATTATTACTGAATTCAATAGGTTTTTCTACTCACTCATTTTAACTGCCCTATTAGCTCCTAAGATGCCTAATGATGTCGAATATCTAGATTTACAACTTTACAAAATCACTTGTGCCCAAAGAAAAATGTTCTTGTATCACAACACAAATTTTTATCTACATATCAGCTAGAAAATCAAAGAATTCGTTACTACTTTGAAGTAAGACAACATAAACTGTGATTTTATTTCACCATGCCATTGCAAGACAAGTATTGCTGATATAGTTCTAAGAGCACAATTTATTAGAGGTACACGTGATGATTCAATTCGCGAAAAATTATTTCAATGAAGTGGAACAACTTTTGACGATTTTGTTTCAAAGGCATTAGCTATCGAGGCTTCAAAAATAGACAGTCAAGCTTTTCATCCAACAGTGTTTCTAGTAACGTTATTAAAATGAATTATTCATCTAGAAAAAATTCACGAAATCAAAACCGTTCGAAATCGTATGAGAAAGTCAAAGTCAAAGAATAATTTCAAAAATTTAGAAATCGATCAATGTTGTATTAGATGTGGTAAAGACAATCATATGGTAAAAGAATGTAAAACAGATCAGAATAAATTAAAATGTAGAGACTGCGAAAAAACAGGGCATCTCAAAAAAGTTTGCATTGCAACTTTATTAGCGAACAAAAATAGATCAACGGCAGATACGAATTATATTCAAGATCAACCAGAAGATGAATCAGATATGGAAGAAATATTTGGTGTCAACAAAATTTTTGATATTTTTGAAAATCGAACAAATACTGATTCGAAGAAATTTTTTGCTACAGTCTTCATCGAAGGAAAACATCAGAAATTTGAAGTAGATTTAGGGGCAGGATTTACTTTGTTACCAGAATCAAGTTAAAATGCATTAAATTCAAACATTAAACTAGAAAGACTTTGCTTACGAAAAATGTATTTTACCCAATGGGAAAAGCAAATGTTTCTGTTCAATATCAGAATAAATTTTCGAAGGAAGAATTTTATGTTGTTCCAGACAATTCCAAACCTTTATTAGGGCGTATGTGGATTCGGCACTTAAATATCAATCTACAACAAATTGACACAAATCAGCTTTGTACAAATACAATGAATGAAAATGAAATAGTCGCTAGATTTCCAAAAATGTTCGAACAGGAAATTGGATTGGTACCAAAGTTTAAAATCTCATTACAATTACGTCCAAATGCAAAACTAGTTTTTTACAAGTATAGAGATATCCCTTACGCGTTGCGAGACAAGGTAAAAAAGAAACTGGATATCCTAGAAGCTGCAGGTATTATATCTAAAGTTGACAATAGTGATTGGGGATCACTCTTAGTTGTAATTCCTAAAGCCGATATGTAGATTATAAAATTGGAGTTAATGATAGATTAGTCTCACCGAATTATCCAATTAGAAAAATTGAAGATATACTAAACAGTTTAAAAGGTTCAACATATTTCTGTCGACTTGATTTGTTCAAAGCATATCTTCATCTACATCTACAACTCATCAAGGAACATATCGAATGCACCGTCTTTCCTTTGGTATCAAAACTGCACCTTGTGAATTCAACAAAATCATTGATCAAATACTATCTGATTTACCCAAAACTGATTCTTATTTTGATGACATTATAGTTCAAGGGGGAATGTCAAATAAACCTGAATGCATATTTTCAAAAACTATAAGATTTTGATCTTCACCTAAATTCCAGGAAATGTACATTTTTCGAGACCAGTGTTGAGTACCTTGGGCATGTTATTAAGAATAACGAAATATCAAAATGTCCAAAAAAGTTCAAGCCATCCTGGAGGTACCACAGCCAGTAAATGTTGATGGAGTTAGAAGATTTCTTGAAATGGTTACATATTATAGTAGATTTATTCATTAAATGTCTACTAAAACATATCCTTTAAGAAAGCTTCTACAAAAAAATAAAAAAATTGATTGGAATTATTCCTGTGAATTTGCTTTTATAAACATTAAACAAGAAATAGCAAGTGATCAAGTTCGAGTTCTATATCATCCGAATTTACTCTTAATTTTAGCCTGTGATGCTAGTCCTACAGGAGCTGCTGGAATTCTTTCGCATCTCATCGATAATGTTCAAAAACCTATAGGATTTGTATAGAATAACGAAATTGTAGTCAGACCGTGAAGCATTAGCAATTATGTTTTCTGTTAATCATTTTTATATGTATCTTTTTGGTCGTAAGTTTAAAATTGTAACTGACAATAGTTCACTGTAGAATTTTTCATCAAAATGAAAAACTTCCAGATATGATATCTTCTAGACTTCTGAGGTATGCCTCATTCTTATCTGGATTTGACAATGAAGTTGAATTTAAAAAATCGTCTGATCATACAAATGGATAAATCTTGATCAATGGATAAATTTTTAAACGAGGAGGTAAATCAACTTTGTTGTTCAACAATTTTGCCTCATATAATTTGACATATGAAAATATCCGTTCAGCAATTAAATGTGATCCAGATTTGTCTAAAATTATACATGATTTAAAATCAAACAATAAAATTTATAGCGATCTTACAAAACAAGATCACATTTTGTTTAGAGGTCAAAGACTGGTAATTCCAGCTAATCTTTAACCTATATTTCTTTCCAAACCTTATAGCATTCATATAGGTATAACCAAAATAAAACAACTAGCCAGAAGATACTGTTATTGAAAGAATATCGATACAGACATCGAGAAGATTGTTAAATGTTAAATGTCATGTTACTCCTGTGCTGCAGTTCATAATTCTCCATCTAAGGTACAGTTACACCATTGGGATGTACTTTTGGATAATTGGGATCGTATCGACATATATTACGCCAGACCGTTTCAAGGAAATTAATATTTAGTTGTTGTTGATGCAAAATCAAGATGTGCTGAAATAAAAATTTTACGTGATGCGCCTACTTCAGGGAAAACTATTAATCTGTTACAAGAAATTTTTTCTCTTCATGGATAACCTCGGATATTAGTTTCCGACAATGCTTCCATTTTCGCTAGTGTAGACATTTGAAAGGATTTCTCATACTCTAAAACAGCTAAGTGGTTAAATATGCGAAATCGCAGAAAACCGTATGCACTAACCCTGTTTCACAAAACAATAATGAAAAAATGTCCACCATACCTTTATAACAAAATTATCTTCCGCACAGATATTCATAACAAGCATACTCGAATGAAAAATAAAATTGATGTACCAAAACACAATACACAGCAGTTTAAGAACAGTTACTCATATCAGATATCGAAAGAATATAACAATGTTACAGATTCCCTAAAAAAACCTTTCTATTACCTCTTTCAAGAGGCGTCTATTCGTGAATATTTTCAATGACCAATGCAGAAATTTTGGAATTCAGTAATTTAATTTAGTAACTCAGGAATTTAGGAATTTAGGAATTTAGGAATTTAGGAATTTAGGAATTTAGGAATTTAGGAATTTAGGAATTTAGGAATTTAGGAATTTAGGAATTTAGGAATTTAGGAATTTAGGAATTTAGGAATTTAGGAATTTAGGAATTTAGGAATTTAGGAATTTAGGAATTTAGGAATTTAGGAATTTAGGAATTTAGGAATTTAGGAATTTAGGAATTTAGGAATTTAGGAATTTAGGAATTTAGGAATTTAGGAATTTAGGAATTTAGGAATTTAGGAATTTAGGAATTTAGGAATTTAGGAATTTAGGAATTTAGGAATTTAGGAATTTAGGAATTTAGGAATTTAGGAATTTGGGAATTTAGGAATTTAGGAATTTAGGAATTTAGGAATTTAGGAATTTAGGAATTTAGGAATTTAGGAATTTAGGAATTTAGGAATTTAGGAATTTAGGAATTTAGGAATTTAGGAATTTAGGAATTTAGGAATTTAGGAATTTAGGAATTTAGGAATTTAGGAATTTAGGAATTTAGGAATTTAGGAATTTAGGAATTTAGGAATTTAGGAATTTAGGAATTTAGGAATTTAGGAATTTAGGAATTTAGGAATTTAGGAATTTAGGAATTTAGGAATTTAGGAATTTAGGAATTTAGGAATTTAGGAATTTAGGAATTTAGGAATTTAGGAATTTAGGAATTTAGGAATTTAGGAATTTAGGAATTTAGGATTTTAGGATTTTAGGAATTTAGGAATTTAGGAATTTAGGAATTTAGGAATTTAGGAATTTAGGAATTTAGGAATTTAGGAATTTAGGAATTTAGGAATTTAGGAATTTAGGAATTTAGGAATTTAGGAATTTAGGAATTTAGGAATTTAGGAATTTAGGAATTTAGGAATTTAGGAATTTAGGAATTTAGGAATTTAGGAATTTAGGAATTTAGGAATTTAGGAATTTAGGAATTTAGGAATTTAGGAATTTAGGAATTTAGGAATTTAGGAATTTAGGAATTTAGGAATTTAGGAATTTAGGAATTTAGGAATTTAGGAATTTAGGAATTTAGGAATTTAGGAATTTAGGAATTTAGGAATTTAGGAATTTAGGAATTTAGGAATTTAGGAATTTAGGAATTTAGGAATTTAGGAATTTAGGAATTTAGGAATTTAGGAATTTAGGAATTTAGGAATTTAGGAATTTAGGAATTTAGGAATTTAGGAATTTAGGAATTTAGGAATTTAGGAATTTAGGAATTTAGGAATTTAGGAATTTAGGAATTTAGGAATTTAGGAATTTAGGAATTTAGGAATTTAGGAATTTAGGAATTTAGGAATTTAGGAATTTAGGAATTTAGGAATTTAGGAATTTAGGAATTTAGGAATTTAGGAATTTAGGAATTTAGGAATTTAGGAATTTAGGAATTTAGGAATTTAGGAATTTAGGAATTTAGGAATTTAGGAATTTAGGAATTTAGGAATTTAGGAATTTAGGAATTTAGGAATTTAGGAATTTAGGAATTTAGGAATTTAGGAATTTAGGAATTTAGGAATTTAGGAATTTAGGAATTTAGGAATTTAGGAATTTAGGAATTTAGGAATTTAGGAATTTAGGAATTTAGGAATTTAGGAATTTAGAATTATAATAGAATTAAAGACATTTAAAATTTATGAATGTAGAAATTAGGTAATCTAGGAGTTTTAAAATATGAAAATTTATAAAATGTTTAATGTAAGCACAAATTTAAATTTAAAAAAACAAATTTGGATAGCAAAGCTAAAACCTTTACATAAATAACTTCAATCATTATCTGTGTTATCTACGTTCCTAGGTATCTCCGCTCTTAAGCAGGCAAATTAATAATTTTTTATTTTTTTTCTCGGTACTCAGGCCTTTGAGGAAGAATAGCTTATGCTGAGCAAAGGGTCTATTGACCTTCTTTCTTGTTAACATAAATGGATATTTATAAGGAATATGTATGTAAAATGGAATTTGTATTATTTGTTTTCAAAGGTCAATAAAAATTATTATTATTATTAACCTTTCTCCACCAATCATAATTTAAATTATTTTAATTACCACTTTGGTTTTAGTCTTAATGCATTGTTGTGCGATGGTTGTCCGTATATCCATATTATGACGAAAATAAATTAAAAATTAATTTAAAATTTCAACTAGCATTCTATAGAATACCTCTTGTTTATATAATTAATTAAATTATGAACAAATTATTAATTACAAAACCTTACCATGTATTTATGTTATGAGTAACATTTATTATAAGTAATAAAGAATGCTTTATTGGAACTAACTGACATGCATACTTATTACACACGTTTTCAAATAATGAGCACGTAAATATAATCAGCTATGAGATATTAATCTAATAGTTCGAGAATAATATAAAAATATATTTTTATGATCTAGTTTAGCAAGAATGGCTAGTGGAAATTGGCAGGTAATATACACACCTTAATACATCTTTGTACATAT